GTCTGTCTATCTGTATGTAGGCCCTATGTCTGTCTGTCTGTACGCCTATCTGTATGTCTGTCTGTCTGTCTGTCTATTTATCTGTCTGTCTGTCTCTGTATGTAGGCCCTATGTCTGTCTGTCTGTCTGTCTATTTGTCTGTCTGTCTGTCTATCTGTCTATGTCTATTTATCTGTCTGCCGGTCTATCTGTATGTAGGCCCTATGTCTGTCTGTCAGTTCAATTCAATTCAAAATTGCTTTATTGGCATGACTGTAAATGATACAATATTGCCAAAGCTTAGTATACATGTACAAAAAGATAAAAATAATAATATAATAACAATATAATAATTAAATGAACATCACAGTAATAGAATGTAATATTATAACATCTTAGAAGTATTAAACAGTAACCAATTAGAATATGTGAACATTTGATACCACAGTCTTTAACTTGCATAGAAACACACTTACATACTAAGGATCACTGTGGTGGACAGTAGGGTAACGTACTGAGGTCAGACACAATACACATTCACCTGCTGTCTCAGGCTGTCCACATGTATCTCGCAGCAAGTGCTGCTGTCTGTCCCTCTCCTAACAGTCTCTTTATTTGTTCTGTTTCACTCATGGCTGTAAAGTTCTTTATTAAGTTGGTAAATTTGTTGAAGTAGAGGTTTCTTATGATATGTCTGTCTGTCAATCTATCGTTCTGTCTGTGTTTGTATTGGCCCTCCCGTCGACGCTTTACACTCCAGTCCAATTGGTGGCGGTACTGCACCAAAATTCAGTTCGCCAACCGTAAAGATGAACCAGAAAACTACATTTCCCAAAATGCTTGCAAGGATGCATTAAATTGTTCAAAAGTGACCGTAAAAATATATTTATAATAAGATTTTTTTTTTTATTTAAAATAAATGCTGTTATGAGATTTCTGTTAATCACAGAATCCTGAAAAAAAAGAATCACAGATTCCAGAAAACTTTTAAAGGGGTCATATGACGCTGCTAAAAAAGAACATTATTTTGTGTATTTGGTGTAATGAAATGTGTTTATGTGGTTTAAGGTACAAAAAACACATTATTTTCCACATACTCTACATTATTGTTTCTCCTCTATGCCCCGCCTTTCTGAAACGCGTCGATTTTTACAAAGCTCATCGGTCTGAAAAAGCGAGGTGTGCTGTGATTGGCCAGCTATCCAGTGCGTTGTGATTGGCTGAATACCTCAAGCGTGTGACGGAAATGTTACACCCCTACCATACTGTGATGATGCCCTGTCAGGCCGGAGCGATGATTCAAAAACATGAAAACCCATTATAAACGAGGCATTCGTTGCATCCAGTGGGGACATAATTATGGATTATAATGACTTATACTGTCTTTTTATGTGTTGCGTAAAAAAAGTAGTTTCGCTTTCACAACGAAACACACAATGTCCATTTTTGGAAGGCCAAACAAAGTATTTTCGCTTTCACAATGAAACACAGCATCACACACGGTGGCCTTGAGTGAGCAGAGACCGGGGGATAAAGTGAGGAACGGCCGGAGGGCTAGAGTTAGCAGAGGTGGCGGATTCGACGAAGGAGCGTCCGGAGGGCTTGCGGCAACCACATGTGACGACCCCGGGCTGGACTCCGCTTCGTCCACGGTGAAAGCCGATCCGGCGATCCACAGCGCAAAGTTGTAGTATTTCCTCAGCAACCAGCACGGATCAGCTCTAGGCATGACGAAGCAGATATCGTCCTCTTTCGGAAGGCCAAACAAAGTAGTTTTGCTTTCACAACGAATCACATAGCGCATTCACAAAATGGCAGCAACAATACTACAGCCAGAATAAAAGTTACGCCTTCTTTCTTTGCGTGAACATTTGGGCGGCTTTATGCAAATCTTCTTACATAGTGACGTAGACATGTGGGGGCGTGTT